AATTTAGAAAGGGAGCTTGTCAAATTCTACATCACTGAAGAATAATTTTTTTTCTCTGATGGATTTCTGTCAGCACTTGGTTAGATGACAAGTTGTACTTATCAGAGTGTTTTTGATGAATATCAGTATTCATCCTGCGCATTAAGTAGGATTAAGAATAAGAGTCCTCTGAAGGCAACTCTAGAAAGTACTTTTCTTTGTGAATTTTTTTTTTTTGCTCTGTTGTCTAAGTGACTTTAAAAAAACAAGAAAACATTCCACCTTCTTCCTAGTCTGTTCCTATGATTTATTAAATGTGGATCCTTTTGAATTTCATGTTAGGTTTTGCTTTGCTATGCCTGATTAGGTGTGAGTTTTGCCTCAGTTTGATTTTTATTAGAAGACAATCATTTAAATGAAAAGTAAATAAAGCTGCTGTTGAAATGTGGGTAAATAAAACAAATGTTATATTGGCTGCACCAATAAGACATTTACGAAAACAAACAAAGCAAATTTACGAAACCAACGGCAACAAGATAGAAATAAATACTAGCTGTCAATATAGGCCCAGTTTTATCTGACCGATATCAATATACTAAAAAAAAAAATATATATATATATATTAATATTGGTTAGCAGCAAAGTTAGTAACAAAATTTCAAGCATCCCTAATTTTAATTCATAATCCACTTTTTAAGGTTGTATAATCAAATGTTTTCTTACACAAGATTCTCCCTTGTTCCTCCTCATGGCCACACACTTCAGATTTAGTTTAATCAGCCCACAGGACATGTCTCCAAATATTAATCTCCTGTGTCTGTGTCTATTTTCTCAAAGGCAACTTTTTTGAAGTTGACTTCTTCCTCGCTGATTGGCTTTTCAGCCCATAACTGTTACAGCTTCAGTCAACCTCTCTACAAGATCACTCCCTGTTCTTTTGGTTGTTGATGTACACTTCTTACCAAAAACAGACTCATTTCAGGGTCAGAATTGTAAATGCCGATATTATGAGAGTTTTTTTTTTTTTTTGTTTTAAACAATTATTTTTTAAATTAGAATGGTTTTAAACAAAGATCAGAGAAACGTAATCAGTAACCATAACATGGTATTTTTAATGTGATAATTGGTGCAAAATTTATTAATAAGCAATTGAAGAAATGTGTAAAAAAAAAAAACACTTGAGAGGAAGTGAGGTTTTTCCGAGGTTATGCATTTCCCTTCTGTGCAAGGACAACGTCTCTGTTCGCTGGCATGAACACAGGAGAAGTCGAACCAGCAGTATAAATATCACTTCATTTGTATTTTCCCTTCAGCTCTGGTGTGAATAATAACCTTTTGTTTACAGTGACTGACACTGCTCTCCTTCGTACCTAATCCCCACACTTCCTGTTTAAAAGATTTTTTTTTTTCTTCGCCATTGTTTTTGAAGCACTCGAACTCGCAGGCCGGGCCGGGTTTGTTTCCTGCCCTCGTTGAATGGACAACAAGAGAATAGATAATTACCGAGTTCACATGAGAATTGAAATGTTCCCCTTCTCGACAGCATTTGTCAAAGCATTTCGAAGGTCGGCACCAGTTTGAGAGTTTCCACGTTGCTATGCCAACTGTGTTGAAATCCGAGCATGATTATTCATGTGAAACTGGTCGATAAAGACAGCTGGCATAACATTTTGACTGGAAAGCGAACGCTTACAGTGGGAAATAGCTGTTTACCTGGAGAGGAGTGGTTTTGATTGGAGTACTTTCATTATTGTGTGCCACCTAATAAGAGGACAAAGTTCACGCTTCCTCACCAGCATCCAGTTGAGGTAAAATGCTTCCTTACCAGTGGCATTCTGAGCAAACAATCCAATTTTTTTTTCTCTAGAAAGCTATTTTTCTTAGATAACTGGAGTAGCCACATAGCTCTATTAACCCCGTGTCATGTCAACATGGTGCAGGTGAGGATCTTTTCTTCTCAGCCTGTTTGGATTTGAACTGCATCACATGAGGAATGACCTAGAAAACAGGCACGTTGATAACTGGCGGCACCTTTTGAACCAGCAGAGACTTCAATTTCTCTTTCTTGAAAAGGACCCGTCTTAACGCTGCACTTTATTGTCACGTTAGGCGTTTTCAAAGTAGCCATCTCCCTGCTGAAATATGTTTGGACAAAAATGCCACAAGGTCCCTACAGACGTTGGACAGCTACATTGTTGTTTCTTTTTAAATAACCGAAGAGGGCAAGGTGGCCGTGGTTTTCTGCTGTTTCTATTAGTAGGTGTGAATGTTTACAGTCTGTTATGTCTGTCCTACCAGCATGTGTCTGCAAACCTGTGAACCTCTGAGCAGCTTTCGCTGCTGTGTGGTAATATTGAGAGGCCCCTTCTAAAGGGGCCTTGTATGTATTTGAACCCGTCTTAAATGCACTTGGATGGACCTGAGCTTGAGGAATCTTGATCCCATCATCCTGCATACCATACAGTCCACGGCTCCTCTCTAAGGAGCCTTTCTCTGAAAGGTCACAGCTATGTCCCCAATTAAGCAGTTTTGTTCAATGGTATGTGCTGATCTTTGTGTCGTTGTTGCATAGGTCTAATTAATGCCCGACAGTGGCTTCACTGTGAATAAAATGTGATGGTACAGTACATGACAGTTTTTATTCTGAGTTTTATAATGTGTGTGTGTGTGAGTCTGTTTCTGGTAGCTTTTGAAAAGGGGGGGGGGGGAGAAAGGTATGGAAAAAATTAGTCATGCTGTTTTTTTATTAGGGTTTTAAAAGGGTGTATCTCATTTCCTTTGGGTGTTATTCATTGTAACTGTGGAGATGAGCAGCGTATTTCCATATGATATCACACAACTGTTTCATTAAGAAGCCAATGTAGTGCACTGTGTCATTCCTGTAAAATCTACACAAGTTTGTTGGAATCCAGAATGGCACAATTATTAGATTTGTATAATATATTTGGCATTTTCCCCAGAAAACTTGCTAAACCTGGTGATAGTAGCTTGGCCATTATTTTCCTGTGCAATCCCGCTTGAATAAAATCTCGCCTATAGCACAGTTTGGCCTTTCTCCCCTTCACATGGATTCCCACTGGTAGATTTTTTTATTTTTTTTTACCGGGCCAATCGGCGAACAGAAGGAGAAGTTGTGAATAATGACGTTGATTTTCTGCTCTGTTTTAGCAATGGCAGGGGGAGAATGTGAACGAAGCGGTTCAAAGCAGTGACTGGGGAAAAAAAGGCATTTTACTTTTTTAAAGCAGACATAATTATCACAGAGTTGGCATTGTAATCTATTTCAGCATCTAATATCTCCAATTAACATGATTGATGATGTGTTATTACATCGTCAACCTGTTTAAGTCTTGATGTCTCGATAGGATAACAATGAATGAACCGCAGGCTTGTCTCAACATGACGTAGAAAATTGGTTCCTTTATGGCTTTTTACTAGGGCTGTATAATTTAAGGAAAATATTGAAATATAAATATATCCGTTGTGAATAACTGTAATTTTCAAGACACTTGCTTTATTATTATGTCCCCTCCACACTCTACTGACTCTAGGATCTTAGCCATTGAATGAAATACTGCTATTTGGGCATTTAGAGAAGTTTAGAGAAGAGTCTATTCAACTGGCTAAATATAAAAGAACTAGGCAGAACTCTAATGCATTCAACTCAAAATGGTACATGGCAAATATTGATTCCAAGCTTTCCTTGCAATTGCGATTGTACACATTGATATTTCAACCAAGTTTGTGATTAAATATGTATAATTGACTTCACTTTTAGAAAGAGTATTGGATCTACTTCCTTAGGTGGAAACTTGGACACTAAAAGTGTTTTGTTTTCCATGATCGAACAGCTCTCAATAGATTCAGGTTTAGGCTGACTGGTGCATACTGCCCAGCTGTTCAAGCATTCTCAAACGCATCCAACCAATCATATCAAATGCTAAATGATCAAATTAAATCTAGAGTGGAGTACATTTCCCCAGTGTTGATCAAAAGCGTGTCTGTGAAGTCTCAAAATCAATGAAAAGTTTATTTATTGACTGGTCACGGAGGAGTTGAAATGATTTAAAGTTTCGCCATGCACCCCCCTCAACCTCCAGTAACCAATCAGGCGGAGGGTTTGCTACAGAGCTCCATCTAACACCATCATGGATGAAAAAGGGCAAATCAATAGCATCTCCCACAGCAACAGTAGGAACAGTGAGATAATGTGGAGACTGGCTTCTGACTCAGAACTGTTTTTGTTTGCAGATGATGTGTCCTTATTTGGCTAAAAGCAATGTTTTCAGTGGGGGAAAAAAAATCTTTGCTGTTACTAATATAAAACCATAAACTGCAGGAGGCCAGGATACATTTTTAAAGGGTTGGAAACAAATAAACAAACAAACAAAAAAAATCCCCTACAATTAACTGTCAGAGCTGCTGTTGCTGCTGCATTAGGAATGTTTTAACCATGGTGCAACAACATACGACTAAGAATAGTTCCAGTGCAAACAAGCACAACCAGACAGGACCTTGAGTTTATTTCTTAGCATTTCACTCTGAGGACTCCAAAGACAGAGCAGTCTTAAAAAGCCGTGGATATTAATTGAAAGCCCTGTAGCTCAGGCACATAACATCAATTACGTGTGGAATTCGGGGCATTCGACCAAGTGTTTTCCTGCAGAAGACGATAACAGAACTTGTCCTTTTCTGTTCAAATATTGAAGCATTCTTTCCATGCTTCCCTCTGCCGATGACCTGCAGGTTTGGGAGTGCGGTGGGAAAACTCAGCGTATACAACATTTACCCGCGGTGTTGTCAGGTTTTAGGAACAGTCTTTAACTCGTCGAGGTTGCTTTGGATAAACATCCTGCATCAGATGAGTCTCCTTTCTGCAGGTGCATGGACAATAACATATATTTAACAATGAAACTGGTTGTGTTGCAGGACGGTTTCCTCAGTTCTCCTTAAGGAACAATGGATGCGTTACAGCTGTGGCTCTGCATGTAAGGGACTCACTGTACACACTTTTCCTTCAGGGGCCTTAAAGAGAGGATTCCAGGAACCTCACCATGTTCAAGGCTGTGCTGAAGAAGAATAGAGATGGAGGCAAAGGGAACAAGAAGGAGTCGGGTATGTGTATATCTGTTTGTTTTTATATGTTTATTTCTGATTAAACTCTGAGGTTTTTTACCAGGACACCCAATAAAAAGCTACACGAAAACTAATGCATACACTGGACAAACTAATGCAATAACATAGAGTAACTAAAGAAACCGAATCAAATCAATTCTCATCTTAGGATTTACATAAAAAGCACCCATGGTGTTGTACAGAAAGATCACTGCGCGTTTCCTTTTGCCACTGTTGCATAATAATATTGGGCTTAGACTACAAATTCTGGACTTTTCATTTTCTTTTTTGTTAAAATATACAGGTAGTTAATAAAAAAGTTTGTAAATAATAGGATGCTGTAGTTTTGAAATATCTGTTTGGAAAAAAATAATAAAATATCTTTATTCCAAATATAGTGTCATAGTAAACCCTTTAAAAATAAATAGTTTTTTGTCTCATTACCTAAATCTATATATTTGCACACTTTAAAATTCATTGTGCAACTCCTATGTAATGCCACCTCTAACCAGTGAAAATACACCAGATCGTGTTGCATCAGATTGAGTCTCTGCAAGCCTGAAAAAAAGTTTGAAAACCTCCATACATGGTCGTAATCTCATATGCATTATTTGAGCCTGTGCAAAAAAAAAAAAAAAAAAAAAGCCATGCAAGGCATCACAGTCTTCTGAAGTTATGCCTCCAGTTCTTAGCTGGAGGCATCTGCTGTTGATTGGACTTTCAAACTGCACGTATATTTAAAATTAAACTCAAAATAAAGTGCCCTAGGTATATTAGGAGTCAAAATTATAGCTAAACAATGGGAGGTATACTAGTCTGAGTGTGAAGCATTTAGCGATGGCTAAGAAGAATTGCATAAAAGAAAATGAACTGCTTACATACTGCAGCTATCGCTAAATGCTTCACACTCGGAGACTAGTATACCTCCCATTGTTTAGCTATAATTTTGACTTGAGGGACACCCTTATTATGTCATAGCAGATGTTTTTCTTTGAAATTCGTATGCTAGCCTTCCACTGTGACTAACTACGCATCATCCTTAGCTGTACATTGAAGACTAGTCCGCTGTGCACATAATTTGCCTCTTCCAATGATCCATCTTGGCAGGCCAGGGTGACACTGTGTGTTTATATTCCATCTACCAGCCCCGACCTGCTCCATCACCTCGGTGGTGGTTTCCACAGTCTGATTCAGCAGTTCTGATGTAGATGCATGTCTCATAGCTCTGCTGTCTTCGTCGCTTTTGTTTGACTCAGTCAGTATTGAAATTACAGGGGAAAAGAGTTGCTTCATGTGCGCTGTCACACCACCTCCACTGCTTTCTAGCATACAACAGCAAAAGAAACGACTTAAAAGGCGTGCATGCACAGCTTTTCATGAGGCTGTTGAAACCCGTCTTGCACACACTCATGCAACACGGCTCCCTTGTTATCCAGCACACACCAACACACATCTACCCTTGAATACAAGGGGGATTTGAGCATGTGAAATCTGGGAGGGTTGACTGTTTCATGGCGGGATACAACTCTTTTTATTCCCAGTGTCACTTTTCCCAGTTGGCCCCCATCCATCAAGCCCAAGCAGCTCCTTGTCTTTTTTTCACATGCCGAGACAATAAAATCTGGTCACTCCTTTCTCTTGTTCAGGTCACTTCAGACAGATGAGAGGTCACAGAGTTTCAGCTCTGAGCAGTGGCCACTGTGCCCTATTGTTGTTCCTCCATGGAGCAGACAGCCCTCTTCTTTTCAACTCAATTTTTAAAGTTAAACTCTGTGATTTTTATTTTATTTTTTTTACCCATCATTTCTAGTGGTTTCAGCATTTTCCCATTACTATATATATATATATATATATATATATATATAAAGACAAAAGCTGTGAAAAGAAGTAGTAGTGGCCAATTTCTGATCACCAGCATAGTAATGGTTTGACCTCCTGGTGCCAATTTTAGCTGACACTGATTTCTCTTTAAGAATTGCAATAAACAAAATACTTAATTTTATACTTTCTGTGTGTACATTTTGAGCACTCTTAACAATTAAAAAGATTACTTTAAAAAAGAACAGTTATTCCTTTAAAATAGCACACTGTTATAGAATCCATAATGAGCCCAGTAGATGAGCAGTTCCACCAGGTGTTTGCTAATTGCTGCTGACTAGTCTGAAGGAGTTGAGTGGGGGAGTCGCAGGCGAGGGCTGCTCTGTGAGGCCAAAGATTTTGAAGCTGCAGTTCCGAGAAGGAGCTTCGTCTTCAAAGGCAGCGCTCGGTCGCACCAAGCGTTTCGTACAGCTGACTGGTTGCCGTGGGAGATTAAAAGATTTCTCAGATATGCTTGAAAGAATCAAATCAGCACTTCAGTTACATTTTTGACGAGGGAATAACATAACATCATGTAAAGCTAAAAAATGTTGAAATGATAAATTGCAAAGTCAAATTTCTTTTAAGTTGTTTCATATGTGCAAAACTTTTTTAACAACTGAAGGTAATGTGGTTACTTGATTATGCTATAAAGTGGCACTATGTGCATGAAAAGTATGACACCCCCTCTAAAAGGTTATTACATGATTGAACACATATAATTTTCACACCATCAGTAAAAATGGCTTTCATTAGTCATGACTGGCTTTTTTAACTAGGGCAAAACGTTGGGCAAATCTAAGCGGTATATTTCACAGTGGAAATAAATGGGAGGAAAGACTTTGATAATGCTATAATTGCAAGATACCTCAGCAGATGTTGCTTATGACTTTGTGGCTATGGACCGAAAGCAACTTAAATATGGTCAAGGAAACTTGGTCCTCATGCCAGATACCACTACAGTCATTAGCTCTCCTCTGGGATCTCCCCATTGCCAAGACCACAAAAACACAAACTTTGCTAATTCAGTCTCTCCATCTTGTGCTCCTCCTAGATCTTTCTTCCCTTTTTGCTTCTGGAAATTTTCATCCTGCAAGGACTCCATGTTCAGATTCACTTCTTTTTTTAGTTTATGGTATCTGCTCTTTTGCGGTGGTGTTTGAGAATCTAAAATCAGGCTTTTCTATAACTCTGGTTGCAAGCAGAGTTATGGTTCGTTACATTACTGAATTGAAAGAATGTTTATTTTTATGCAAAAATTTCAGAACTTCAAACATTAGCAGCCATGCTTTCTTTCTTTGTACGTTTCAGTAACAAAAGATCAATGAGAAATGTGTAGAAGTCTGACATTTTGCTCTGGTTTGGTTCTGACATCACACAGACCAGCATGGAGCCACAGCATGTAGACTCAAGCATCTTGACGATTAAAGTTAAAATATTACCTGTAACTTTTGTTGTCTTTTTGATTTCTGTTGCACATATTTTTTGTTACGATGTCGGTGTTTGCAATACTTGAATAACAAAGGACAGTTTGAAGTGCATTAATTGTTGACTAATGCATTCTAAGTCTTATGAACTTTCATTTTGATTCTAATTTAATATTTTGCCATTTGGGCAGAGTCGCAAGGATTATGAATCACAGATAATAAATGAGTAAAGAAGAAAATAGTCACCACAGCTGCGGTCTGTGACCCCGTCAAACACTGGGGTTCCACTGTAGCTGTAGCACATTTCTGTTGTGGTCAGTTGTTTTAATTAAATCAGTTTTATACAAATGAGTTTCTATGTTTCTTTAGAAAGAAAATTGGGACCAGCTAGTTCCACTTCAGAAAGGCCAGTTGATTTATTTTCAGTAAAAGTACAATTTAACCCCCCCCCCACCCCCAACAAAAGTAGAGGCTTTCAGAGATGCTTACTAGTTTACAGGCGGAATATGCTCCTAATAATGAACGACATAAAAGGCATTTTCATGTCTAAACACAGATCAGATCTTTTAATGCATCCTTATGTTTCAACCCTCATCATTTTTTTATTTTTTTACAATTTTTTTTATGGATGTATTTTCTCATCAACGTTTAATAGTTCCTCCGACAAACAGACCCACGGGACCCGCTTCTTCCCTTTTTAAAGAAATCCTCCGCTCTTAAAAGCTTGGCTTTCTGGTGTTAAGTGTCTGGCATTAAACCATTGCTGTTGCTGTGGGAGTATCTTTAATAGGCCCCTCAGGTGACCAAGAGTAATGCCATTTTTGACCCAGCTTTGATTGCTTAGTGTTACTTTGTGAGGCAGGTAATGCCTCTGGAGGTTAAACTCAACACTAGACTTTTCACTCAATGAGGGTGGCAGCCTGAAGCAGCTGCCAGACATTTGTTCTGTCAGACGCAGTGTTAATCACAGCGACGTGCTCTGTCGTGGCCTCACTGAGGCCGATAACAGTTCCGGCTGTTTGTTCCTCCGCATCCCAACACACACACACACACACACACACACACACACACACACACACACACACACACACACACACAAATGTTGCGTTCTCAAACGTCACCCATACGGTGGGTGGTTGTCACAGGTTGTTTAACAGCATAGAAACAGGAGCTGCACACACACCTGCTACAACAGGGTAAACATTTCTCAAGTAGACCCGAAGGCAATCTTTTTTAAGGGATTACCGTTTCATTATTGAGACTGAGTGAGGGCAGATGCTTGGATACAGAATCTATACGAGCAGTTTTCATTGCATTCATCGTGTTGATTTCTGATAACATCTGTGTGCTCCATAGCTCACCTTATGGCTTAGCTGAGACGCAATCTTTCTAATGAGAAACAACAGATGATAAGCCAAACTGCAAAAAGAAGAAGAGAGCAAGAAAATATATATATAAAAATATATAATGCATTTCTTGTTTGGTGAGTTGCACAGTTTTCAAGACTCAAACGTCATTTCCCCCCCCCCAACAAGTAAATCTTAATTAAAGCCAACATCGCTTCAGAGAGATTATGTGAAAAAATGGAGGGAATGTTCATGATTTAGAGGATCTGTGTACAAAGTAAAAGCATGAGTGAGAGACCCCTAAGCACTCTGTTGCCTCAGCTGTGGTGGAGAATGGTACATGCTGTCTCTGCAGTTTCCATGAGCTCTT